TACTTACACAGATTCAACAAATCTATATAAGCCTGAGAACATGCGGCACTGGCCATTAAGCAACCAGTTGGCTGGCTTGCATCATGTGCCTATTCTTGGCCCAGGTGACTGTTTCTGGGAATCTGAATAATTGTCCTCATTCTACTTTATTTAAATGGCTGTGGATCTATAGGACATGATAAAGGAAAGGTCTCTGACCTACAAATAAGTACTTAAAGTAGTGAAAGTTCTAAGCTTTTACTAAGAAATTAGGAGAGAATTAAAGAAATTATCCCATTAATTGAAACCAGGGTAGATTTTGCCTCAATTTTTATCTCACTCACTTTTTTTACAATAGTGACCTAATAATTTACTAACTGTACTAAAAACACATTCATCTCCCAATATTTTGAACTGTATCAATATATTAAATCTAAATAAAATGTAATCAATAGAAAATGTGTAACCTTAGAGATTCTTCAGACAGTAACAATAAATATTCTATAATTGCCACTTCAATGATTTTATAGAATCATGCCCTTGTGTGTTTCTCCACCCCCAATCCTAGGAAAAAAAAAAAAAAACATAAAAATCATGGTGACTTAAAAGTTCACCTTTAACAGTTTAGAAAAGCTTCCATAGATGAAAGAACACAGTGAATTATTAAATATTTTCATACGACTATACTGAACAATACGACTTCTTGTCCAGAGTAGACACTACTCTTCTGACACCCTCACTTATCAACTAGTATGATTCCCATTTCATATGAATTCAAAGTAGAAACACAATAAACAGAAGCTATTACAAGATGGCTAAAATTTCAAGTGGTCTTGACACCACATTATTCCTCTGAAAATTAGACATGATCTTACAACTAAAAAGGAATGAGAATATTGCTCCCGACCAAAGGAAGAATTGTTCTCAGCATGTATCAGATAAAAAAAAAAAAAAAAAAGAGGCATATAGTAAATGGAATTCCAAGTCAGAGACTGTTCTTATACTTTTCAGTGTGTCTCTATATAAAAACAAAGCAATGGGAATTAATAATATGGGAAAATGGCAGAGACACTTAGAAGAAACAAAGATATGACACATAGCATGATGAAACATAACAACATATTTTAATGAACTAGATATAAAGGAAATCTTGTAAAAGATCACAAAGCATTGATTAATTACTCTTCATGATTAGAGGGAAGTCATCTTTCTGGATCATTTCAGTGCAGAACACTTGGAAACAACAAAGAGATCTCAATTCAGGGGCAAATGTCTAAAAGGCTCATTATTTTTCCCTGACTAAAAACTAATTACTGGAGGGGTGTAATTCCATATGATATCTGATATTTTCACCACCAGTACTAATTTCAATGTCTGCACTAAAACTTAGATACCATTCTTTATATTTAAAACAGGAAAGAATTACAAGGCCAAATAATAACTTCATTTTTAAATAATAACTTGTGAAATATTTGCCCCTTCTATTCTTATCTCATAGCTGTCTCCAAAATTAATGCAAGATACTCTATAGTCTATGAAGAAAGCAGTAAATTAGTAAGCGTAACTTAGGTGATAAAGCAACAACCATTTAAACTCTTAAAACATGTGATTTATTTTTGTCAGGAATGATGTTCCTCATTTTAGGTTGGAATTTTGTTTTAACCCAGCAGTAAATATTTCGGTAAAATAGATTCTTCATCTTCCTATAAGTTGAAGTATTCCACAGTTTTTCTGTTTGATGCTTATTTTTTTCAAATATATTTATATATTATGTAAACTGAGTCACACAGCTGGTACTGATATGAGAAAGCAGAGCATACTCTCATTTTGTCCTATTAAATTCCTTTATTCTTTCCTGCAACTGCTCTAGTTTAATGCCCTTTTAATCAACCTATCCTTAGTTCTTCTCATTACGAATTTCTTTTTTCTCCTCTGAGAACTATTAACCACAATATGTCCCCAAGGATACAGCAGTGTCTTTATACAAGAGGCCATACCTCCTAATATTTTTGGTATGAGAGCTTGATTGCTTCACCCATTAAGTTGTCCCTCAAGTCAGTATGAGGCAATCATATGAGGCAGTTTTTCGATAAGAACTCTCACTCTTATACAAGCAAATATGACACTATTGATCAATGACCTAAGAATTAATATAACAACTAGCATGTATAAAGCAGTTACTATTTGTTACAGGACCCTGAAAAGGACTTCACCTGCATTTTCCCGTTTAATCCCCCAAACAACTTTCATATAAAGGTTTTCTTCTCTCGGATTTTGTTTTTTAATAAACAAAATGAAACTGAGATAGTGACAGATTTCATTATTTATTCAAGGTCATAGGTAAGGCAGGCAATTAAACTGGGACTAGATCTGAGGCAGTATGAGTCAGAAGACCATCATAAATAGGGCATAACCACCTACAATACGATAGATATTGCAGAAAAGGTTCCCCTACTGTCCCAGGTGTAACTTTGAATATGCTGATATTTAACCCTGAAATCATCAGCAAGTGCATTTTTCAGAATTATTCCTTATTATGGTGAAGATATCCTAAAAGCACTCCTTGTCTTTAAAATCCTAGCAAAAGTGACCTTATCAGAACATTTCCAGATTGGTCTGAAGAAAGCAAGTTTTTCCAGCCACGAGCATGGAACCAGGTTATTTCCTTCGGGGAACAAATGTAGGACGTTAGCTATGTTGGAAGATTGCAGTCAAAGCAAAAAGCTTCAAATCTTTAAGAACTTCAAGCTAGAGGACAGAGACCTAGACAAACCATGTTTCTCACAAGTTATGTATAAAGCATCCAGCATAAGGTAAAACAGTCTAAATGCTAGTTCCACCCTTTCATGCTTTCTGTTCTTAAGCAAATCATTTATTAAAATTTCATCAGATGCATCAAATCATATCAATAAAAATTTAAAAAAAACTATGGGGTGGAGAAAAATCTGTGATTTAATAAATAATCACTCCCTAATTAAAATAGCAGCTAATAAGTTTTTCAAATCATTAGTTTTGGAATAAAACAGGAAGAATCTCTCTTTTGGACACTGATAGCAATATCTAGTTAAATACAAACCAGAAAATACATTCTAAGTGGAATTTTCACCCATCGTGCATCATTTTTACCTTGTTTTAGAACTGGGTATTCTATTTTTCTTGCTTCCATTAAAGAACTAGTTGGAAACTCAACAGTTAATAAATCTCTGATGGCAGGATACACTAATGTTGTCTAGCAGCACATTCTACCTCCTGCTAGAAATACATCTTCCTAGGCATTAAACTGTGTTTACCATTTTACACTCTTATTATTACTACATGACTCTTGTGGGGGAACAAAAGTTTATTGTTAAGTTAACGAATGGGTGACCTTCAAATAGTTACTAGTTATAAAACCATGAGCAACTCACACTCTGGATCTCAGTGCTCTCTTCTCTAAATGAAGCAGTTGGACCAACTGACCCCCAATGTGCCATATTAAGATAGTTATTGGAGAGAGAGGGAGCTCTCCATTAAAAACAAACAAACAAAAAAACCATTGGATTTATAAAAGCTAGAAGATTAGAATATTACTCATATCAAGAATATGGACATGGGATAATGTCAAAAGACAATTCGTTGTTAGAAACGTTTCATTATGTTGGCCAGAAAAGGAAGCAACTGAAGCAAGTGATAAATACTGTATGGAGGACCCAAGGAGATGGGGAGGGGGGAATGCATGTGAGGAACAAGAAAAATTGGAATGCTATAAATACTGATTCACATTACTCTTGCATTATTCACAATAGCAAGTGCCTCAAAGTGTTGCTTAGTATCAAGTGAAATAAAAGCCATTTTCTGTCTAAACTGCTTAATCTAGAAGTTTGAAACAAACTGTACCCCATTCTCTAACACAATTGTTAAACTGAAATTACAAAAGAGGTAACCTGCTCAAATTTCCAAACACATGGTTGGTTTTATCTGCAGATGCTAGCAAAGGCTGCTCTGCTGCAGACCATCAGAGTCACAGTTTTCAAGAATGTCAATATGCAATAGTTAAAATATTAATATATTAAGACATCATGGGCTCTAAGTCCTTTCTTGTCATTTTTCATTGACACAAATATACTTCTTATTTAACTTAAAGCAATCCCTAAAGTTTATTTATGTAAAAATGCACTAGCCAACAGAAATAGCTAAAGCCAAAATTACATTACCTAAAAAATTCTAGAAAGGTATGAGAAATTTATTTCTATTCAGCAAATTAAGAGAATTTCACTCAAAATATACTTTCTTGTTGCATTTCTCACCAAGAACACTCCAGTAATATTAATATCTAAGTGAAGTTTTTTTAATTTAAAAAACATTTTCATATCACTATGTAATTTGCAAATGCATTTAAAATGCTTCAAAAAGAACTAAATAAAACTGCCTTAACGTCCATTTGAAAATGTAAATCTACTGCATTCAACCAAGTTGACTGTTTTCCTTTGACCAAGTTAGTAAAGCCAGTGGATTAGGGAGGTGGTGTTGGTAGAGCTTCTCTGCAAAGCTACCTGCCCAGGAAGCAAGGCACTTACAGTCCGCGCTACCAATTCACCAGGCTGGGCTTTGTCAGGCCGGGCAGGTAAATGGGTGACGCTACAAATGAGCGGTTTTGCTGTGTTTACCGACTGTTGAAAATGATTACGTATAATTTTAAAACGCGCATTTCTTTAAAACAGGTTGCAAAGTGACTTTAGAAACTACAGGACCCTGACCCGGGTGCTGGGGAAGTTGCAGAAGTTGCAGACACTGAGGGTGGCCCGCTGGCCAGAACTCCCAGCGCGCTCCCTCCTCGTGGCGTGCAGATGCCCCTCAGAGAAGTCAGGGACAGAAGAACTCTCTGGTCTGCCCGGCGGCAGGATAAAAGGGAAAGCCCTATCTCAGGGACGCCCTTGCCTCAGTGCCCGAGTGCAGTTGCTGTCTAACGATGGCCCGTAGTCTCCGCAGAGACCCGTAGCCTGGCCTCCGCGTCAAGGCCCTCCGAATGCGCAACTACCCACCTGGGGGCGCTGGGCTGCAGGGGGCCGGGTCCGGGCTTCCAAGCCCCTTGCCCGGCGCTGCAGGCAGCATTGTGGCGGCTGAAGCCGAGGGGCCTGCGCACTGCTGCCCGCCGAGCGCTGCCTGAACTCTCCCGGCCAGAGACTCCTCGCGATTTTCTTTTCCTTTGGCCCCCGGCTCTCCCCAGCCCGCTTGCCACCCCGGGCGGCTGCGGCCAGGTCTCAGGAAACGCAGCCCGGGGGCTCATGCCCGCAAGGCCAGGGCTCCGCTCTGCTGGGCGCCCAGAGGAAGTGAAACTGCTCAGGGGCCTGCTCTTGCATCCCTTCTCAAAAGGCCGCTTTGGTTTCTTATAACACTTCTGCTCTTGTTTCCTTCCTCACCTTTTCACCTAGGATATATTTAAGCCTCTGTTACTGTAGCTCTCCTTGTCCCTTTCTAGGTCTTCCACACTGCCATACTGCCCCCACTTGCAGGCAGACGTAGGGAAACCAGAAGTGAACATTTGCTGGAAAGACAGAATGATTAGATAGATGAGTAGATACATGGATGATAGATACATAGATAGATATGGAAATGAAGCTACAGATATTGTAATTTTTAAAATATTTCATTTTACACAGACTTTCTAGGCTAGGTTCATAAATTGAAAAGTGATTTAAAAATCCCATATAAAATGTATTTCTTACTCCTGCTCCAACTCAGAAATAGACCCAGTAAAAAATTATTTATGGCTCTAAATAGCCCCTCCAAACAAAAGTTTGTTTGCTTGTTTTAAAGATGGAGATACATCAAAGCAATTGTCTCAGAACCTTAAAGTGAATGTCTCTTCCCTCAAGCACGTCTAAACTAGTCATTTGCCTTTTGAAATTGAAGATATTTTTTGACTATCAATTTGGTAATAATACATAGTTTAAATGTTCCTCTCCTTTTCTTATAAAAGGAAGGCTTTCTTTGAAACTTTCTCTCGGATGAAGTGGTTTTTAGGAATAGTATAAATATCAAGTATCAAAGAAAACGTTAATTTTTTCACGTAAATGAACTTATTAGAACTTTATAACATAACGTAGAAAACTTGGAGAAGTATGTGAAATGTCCAAAAAACTTGAAAACACTTATAGGTTGTATTGTATTTATCTGATTTCCGGTAGTTTCTTTAACATCATTATTAATTTTATGTTGATTTTCTGAACTTTATATAATAGAACAAAAGATTTTTTCTAATTTATGATATTATATTGAAAAAATGGTTGTCTTCTATATATGCCTGTTAACAGAGAGACTTCAGCATAATAGGCAAAAACAGAAATTTGGATTGCAGGGTTTGGGTGTTGTTCAGTGTTTCAGAAACCCAATTCTTAGGAAAGTATGTCTTAAACCCATTGGAGAAAAGAATAGTCTAACTGATGTATCTACTGATATATGTATTCCTGACAAGAGCTACTTTAGCCAACATGAATACTCCGGATGATGCTCCCCAGTTAAGTGTCCAGATCTTCAAAGGCACCCATTTATTCACATAAAAACTTGTTAATAAAGACAGCATTCAGATAGGAACTTACATCTGTCACATGTACAGGACAGTCTTCTTGTATGAAGAGCCCTGGATTGGAAGTCAGAAGGTTGTGGCTGCCATCCTGACTCTGCTTCTCAGTATCTGGGTGTTTGGAGAAATTCTTAATATTTCTGAGCCTTGCATATCTCATCTAATTTATTCATTATTAATGAATAAATTAAAATTATTGTATTCGAGTTTTTGCTAGATATAAAATGTTATACTGTCTCCTAACAAAACTGTAGAAAATAAGATTTATAATATGAAAATTCAGTATATTTTCAGATGCTCATTTCCATTACTTATGTCAAATGATGCTAGTAAATAGAAAAAAGGAAGGAAAAACTGCTGAAAATTATGGGCTTTTTTTTTTTAAAGAAGACTTTTTTTAAAAAAAAAAATAAGATTGTGTTAGAAAATTTTTAAAATCTTCCGTTAAAATCATTCTAGCTTCATTTTTGTTTTGAATAAGAAAATAGCCATTGACTACCCGATTGACTGACTTATTTATTCTTTTGTTTTACTGTTTGCAGTCAACAACTACTCTTTTTTTTTAAGTATTCTATATGCTATGTTCTATGTAAGAATTTCACAATATTCATGTCATTTGGTTCTCAAAACAAGGAATCTTTAACCATATTTTACAAATGAAGAATCTGGGTGTTGAAAACTGTAGGTGTCAGAACTAAAATTCAATCTTAGATCTGATTTCATAGCCTGCCCTCTTAATTATAACTGTCCCCCTCCCCCCGCTTCCTTTTAAGGCCACATAAGGCCCTTGCTAAAGATTACATGAACATCATAAGATAAGTTATACATATATAAGTGTTGAAAAAATTTTTTGTTTCCCTATCCACTTTTCCACAGAGCTATAGGCCCATACAATTAAATACTAATAGCCTTAAAAACAGGTGTGAACTGTACTTATAGTTTATTACAATTTTGGTGCTATTTGGTTGAGGATATATAGATGTTCACACATGCGCGCACACATACACATACACACACACACATATACGTGATAAACTAAGTCCACATGTTTTCATACTTTGCTGGTGCATTTATAAAAATATATTTTGAAAGCTTTTTTTACTCATTTTGGTCTTGTTTCTGTGTCAAACACATCTTTAATCACAGTTGACTTTATTTTTCCCCTGCTTTCTCCCTTAAGGAGATGATACCATCTGGAATGTTGGGTTATCTCTTGGTTCATACTTGTTCTCAGGGAAGAGGCACTTAGCAATTCTCACACCAAGAGGCTTTTTCAGGCAGAATGCCACCAGCAGTGTGTAATCACAGGTTTCTGATTTTACCTCTGTTACAGAGTATCAAAAAATGCTAGCCACAGTAGGTTTCTTGTTTCTCAATATATCAAACTCTTGGATCCATTGACTTCTTCCCTTGCATTATTTTTTCTAGCAGCATATTGACAGCCTCAATATTATTACCCCACTCTGTGAAGATTATAAGAGCCTCACGCTGGCCGTGTGTTTCAATAAATGGACATCTAAAGCTGTTTGGTGTGCCCTGCAGTTGCCATGGCTGATTTCTTGTGTCCTTTGCAGACTGGATGCTATTGTGCATGCTATTGGCTTTATTTCTGCCTTTAGATTCTGGATATGTTTAAAGAACAAAACTGCTTCTTTTCTAAAGCAATAGTCTACTGTAAAAGTGAAATAGTTGCTTCTTCATGGCTATTTGTTAATTGGGGAATTTTCCTCTTGACAGTCATGTCTGGATTTTTAGACGCTGAATTATATTATTCCCCCAGGGTGTTACTACACTTCTTATTTACTCCCTCAAAACTAAACCAAATACCAGGAATGTCTGAAGGAATTTTTACAATAATTTTTTTTGTCGTTACTAGGAGGCTTTATTTTCTTTTGCTTCCTCACATTTAATTGAATTCTTTAATACTAATCTGTTTAGCAAACCCCCAAAGAGGTCCATATTCTCATCTGCAGAACCTGTGCATATATTTATTTACCTGGAAGGTGGAATTAAATTAAGGATCTTGAGATGGGAAGATTATTTTGGATTATCCAGGTGGGCCTAGTGTAATCATAAGAGTCCTTATAAGATGGGGGCAGAAAAGTGAAAGTTAGAAAGGGGGTGTGATGAGAAAACAGAGATTGGAGTAATATGCTTAGAATATGGAGGAAGGGGCCACAAGCCAAGGAATACTAAAGGCAAAGAAATGAATTCTCCTGCAGAGCTCACAGAAGGAACCAGTCCTGTTGATATCTTGGCTTTTAGTCTAATGAGACTGATTTTGGACTTATTATCTCTGTAATTCTAAGATAATAAATTTAGGTTGTTTTAAGCCACTAAATTGTAGTAATGTGTTGCAGCAGCAGCTAGCTAACACATCAATTTATGGTGATAGGAAGCTAACACACAATTCACAGTGATGAGTTTGGGGGAAGATTCATTAATAGGGTGAATCTTTGTGCATTCTTCTAACTAAACATATGTTAAAGAACATTTAATTCCCTTCACCACTAATGTGCTAAGTCCCCATGGAGCAATATCTCATTGTTAATTGGTGATTGTGGTAGTTATTTGATATTCCTTCCTGCATGGTTGTTTGCATTATGTACTTGCTTTTGTTCTCTAGTGGTTGCATAAATGTGCTGATTCTTCTCTTTTCAATTATATTAAGTCTGACTTGTAGAAGTAAGCAGGTTTTCTGCTTATACCATAGCACACACCACCACCACTGCCCCTCCAGTCAGACCCCTGCCTGTACTAACAAGCAAAAGTGAGTTTGCTGGAAGGAACCTTGCTCTGTAGATATGACTGTTTTTGTTTGTTTGTTTGTTTGTTTTTTGTTTTTTGTTTTTGTTTTTTTTTGAGGCGGAGTCTTGCACTGTCGCCCAGGCTGGAGGGCAGTGGTGCAATCTCAGCTCACTGCAAACTCCGCCTCCTGGGTTCAGGCCATTCTCCTGCTTCAGCCTCCCAAGCAGCTGGGACTACAGGCACCCACCACCACGCCCGGCTAATTTTTTGTATATTTAGTAGAGACAGGGTTTCACCATGTTAGCCAGGATGGTCTCGATCTCCTGACCTTGTACTCCACCCACCTCAGCCTCCCAAAGTGCTGGGATTACAGGCGTGAGCCACCATGCCTGGCCTAAATCTGACTTTTAACAGACAATACTATAAAACACTTGAATGTCAAGAAAGCTAAAATCTCCATTTCTCTTTTTAGTTGTTTTTTGTAAACTATGGTAAGTTGCTTCCATTTTTACTCTATAATTATTGATTTTATTAGCATTTCAGCCCCACTCTTTACCTAACATATAATAACACAGGGCTCTCCCTTCCAAACTTATTAGCTTCATTTGTCAACAGGATTGATAAAACAGCATTGCTCTTTATATTTTTATTATTCATTAATTCATTCAAAAAGAGTTTAGTAAATACCTACTATATGTTGGGCACTGAGCATACAGTGATAATAAGATATAGCCCTTGCTTCCAAAAATATCTTCCTTCTAGAAATTCTGCTTCAGATTTTGTGGAAAATTGTGTAGGGTAAAATAATACTAAATAGTTCCATGATAAATGAAAAATACTTTTGGACCATTAGAAGGATCAAGAATATTCTTGTAAGTAATGTGATTGTTAGGGAAGGTTCCATTATAAATAATTCATACTGAAGAAACATTGAAATTGGGAGTGTTTGGAACCAGAAGATAGCAACAGGAAGTGGTTGGAGAAAAATTTCAACAGGAAGAGAAACAAAGATAATGTGTTTCGGTCAATGATGTAACTAGCTACTATTGTGCTTAGGGCAGGTTCCAAGAACTGTACCTCTTGACATGATCTAAGAATTGGAAGAGAATATAGAATATCTACCTCATAATTTCATAGGGTAGTGAGTAGCCTGTTAATAGTTTAGAAGAAAAAAAATGCAGACATTTATTTGAGGCAAGTGAAGTTAGTTTCTTT